GGGGACGAGGAAGGGGCGCGCGGCGGGTGAGCGGAGGAGGGGGCGCGGGCTGCAGCCCTCGGCGGGGCGCGCGGCGAGGGAGCCCAGCCGGGCACAGCGCACGACGCCGCAGCCCTCTGAGCCCTGTCCCCCGCAGGCCCCGGGCAGATGTCCCAAGTGAGCGGCCAAAGCCCCTCTCGCCACGACGCGCCCCATGGAGCCCCTGGCGCAGCCGTGGAGCCAGGTAGGAGCGGGAAGGAGCGCGAGGGGGCGGCTGGTTCCGTCCCTGCCACCCGAGGAGACGGCCCGCGAGCGCAGTGGGGAGGGGGTGGGGAGTCTGGGATTCGGGGACCCGGTCCAAGGATAGTGGAGGGCCGGGTGGGGAGGCCTGGCCAGAACGGAGGCGGCCGCGCCAAGTTGGCTCGACTCGCCCCAGCCCATAGGCGCACACGCAGCAGACACAGGCGCGCGCGCGCACACACACACACACACACACGCACACACAGAGAACAGCACACGCACACCAGACAAAGCGGACACACACGTATAGCACGCACACAGCACACACACACCAGACACCAGACCCACACCCCCCGAGGCATCAGTCTGCCCCGGGACGGGTGTCCTCACCGTTTCTGCCCAGTGTGTAAATATTTACGGGGCCTCTGGCGGGCTGGAGGGAGTGGGGGTGCCCGAGTCCTCTTCCCTTCCCTCAGCGCAGGCAGAGCCCAGCGCTTCCCGAAAACTTTTGTCTGCCCGGGGCTGCTGCAGGGCGGCCCCTCCCCTCCCGCTGCCTTCTCCTTGCTGTCTCTGTCCTCCTGCGGTCCCCACAGCAGGCCCAGACATAAGCGTAGACCACACCTTCCCCTCATCGGAACCAAGGCAGGTTGCCATCCCGCAGGGACCCTGTCCTGGGGTCGCCACCCCTCCCTGTCCACAGGCTCAGCTTGGGTGCCCCGGGAAAGTGGGAGCGATGGGATTCGTGCAGGGCACGGGTGCCCCAAGTGCAGGCCCCGGTCACTCAGGCTCTGCCTCCCTGGGGCTCCTTTCTCCTCTCTGCCTCCACCTCACTCCCTGCCCTCCCTCAGCCTCCAAGTCTGGGGTCCTGTCTCCCCGGATGGACCCCCTGGGCTGTGGAGCGGGGGTCTCTACACCAGGGTGGGTCAGGGGAAGCCACCTGGCTGGTGGCCAGCACACACTCCCCCTGGGGTCTCTGCTGCTTCTGCAGAAGGAGCTTCTCGATGGGAGGGGGGCGTCGGGCTGCAGGGAAGAGCTGTGCAGGGGCTGCCAGCCTCACCCCTCCTGTCTCCCTTGCTCCCTTTCTCTTCCACCCCTCACACTTTCTTCCTCCCTTAGCCGCTTTCTCTGTCCCCTCCACGACCACCCCCTTGTCCAAGACCCACTCCATCTCTCCCTCACCCAGCCCCGCTGCAGAGCAGGGGCTCAGAATGCGCCGGGCAGAGCCACTTCCTGGTCAGTACCCCAGCACACCCCCTGCCCAGGGTGGCCCAGGCCAGACAGTGCGGCTTTCATAACACAGGCCTCTTTCTGCCTTGCTGCTGTGGCCTTGGGAGACTGAGCCTGCTGCCCAGGAAGCCCAAACCGCAGGTGACCCAGCCAAAACCCCACAGACGCCTGAAGCTGAGACCGAGTCCCCCACGCTCCTGCAGGCCAAGACAGGACAGCAAAGCCCCGGGGCCCTTCCTTGGCCACCCAAGACGACCACCGAGGGGACGCAGCAGACTCAGAGCAGCACTGGCCGGGCCAGGTGGCCAGGCCCACGCCCTGGGCTCCCCCAGTGGCCTCCTCCTTCCCTGCCTTCAGAGCCCCAGACTTCTGCCCAGCACTGCGGACTCGCATTCCGGCACCAGGTTCTAAATTGAATTTCCTGGGGAATCAGAGCCTTAGGACCTAAAATCAAATTAAGGCAACCCCACCTAGTTGACAGCTTAGCTTGGTGCCCTAGGACCACGTGTACATCAAAGGAGTCCACTGTTTCCAGCCTCCTGGGGGTTCATCCCCATCTCTTTCCTTCTCCTGACCCCGGCCCCCGAACTCCAGGGCTCGGCACTCACCCACACGTGGGCTGAGCACCGTCTGGGGTTACTACAAATCCAGCCCCTGCCCCAGTGGTGGGAAAGAGGAGGGCTGCAGTCCTTGTGAATAGCAGGCCTCCGGGACTGGTTATGACCAACAGGCACCAAGTTCCCAGCAGCTGCACTGTGCAGAGAAGGCACTGCCCAGCCCCGGGTCAGGGAAGGCATTTGGGAGGAAGAGCGGTTCCAGCTGGGTCAGGAAGGATGGGCTGGGCTTGGGCAGTGGTCAGGAGGCACCATGTAGCCTGAGCAGACTGATCAGCAGGCCTGGTGGTGGCCGAGAGCCACGGAGAGGCTTGTCTGCCTGGAGCCCAGGACTTTTGTCCGCTGAATCCATTGAAGATGTTGGCAGAGGGGCTAGGGATTTAGCTCAGTGGTTTCATTGCCTGCCTCACAAGTGCAAGGTCCTGAGTTCGATCCCCGCTACCAAAAAAAAAAAGTCTATGAAGATGTTGGCAGAGGGCACGGATGCCGGGCCAAGCAGAACAAAGTGCAGGGTTCCAGATCAGAAGAGGGCCTGGTCTTCTCTTAGAGATGATCGGCACTCCAAGGAAAAGCCCAGGCTGCTGTCCACAGAGGCAGGAGGGGCTGGATTTGAGGGACACAGGCACTGTCCAGGCTTGGAGGGAAGCAGACCCACGGGGACGAGATCCACAGGGCCTGCCCCCAGCTGCAGGGCCGGGCCACGGGCATGCTGGTGCCGCCCCAGTCAGGTGAGCACATGGCACCTGTGGGGACAGCAGGGCTCTGGCTGGGGACTCCAGCCCTGCCCACTCAGCCCTAGCACCTCGCCGGCCTGTGCTCTGCCCTCCAGGAGATGCTCTTCATAGACCCTCTGCTGGATGGTGCTGTCCCTTGGTCACAAAGGACAGCTGGCTCTGGGCCTCTGGATGTGTGTGCAGGTCACCCTGCCTCCTGTCTGACCCTCCTGCCCCTCCTGCACCTAGGGCTCTTCTCCACATTGAGGTCTGCTGGGGCAGGGGCAATGGCAGGGCTTTGCAAGCTGGGAATTCTCTACTGCTGCTTCTTTTCTTCTTTGTGGTCCTTTTATTTCTTTCGGGGTTTTTGTTTGTTTGTTTGTTTGTTTTTTAGACAGGGTCCCACTATGTAGTCCAGGCTGGCCTTGAACTCACTATGTAGCTCAGGCTGGCCTCCAACTCTTGATGAGCCTCCTGCCTCAGCCTCCTGAGTGTCAGGATTACAGGTGTGCGCCACCACGCCCAGCTTTCCCTCTGATTCTGATGCCTGCCCCTGGCTGTGTGATTCAGTCCTGTCTTGCTCATGTGCTGAGTCCCCGTTGTGACCTCTCCTGAGTCAGGTCCAGACCACAGACTGGTTTCTGCCCTTCCTCATTTTCCCCAGGTCTGAGGCTCAGTCCAGAACGGCTGGCTGCTGCAGGACTGGCCTCATCCTGCTCTCCAGAGCTTCCTAGTGGAGGCTCAAGGTCGCCAGCCCTGCAGGTGGTGGTGGGGAGTGGTGGAGAGAATGGGCATGGAGGGACGTGGGGACTCCAGGCTCCTTCACTGTCTTTCTCGCCTTCCTCTCTCTAACCCTTGCGACCCAGAGAGCAGAAACCTGGGCTCCGTCTACTACAGCACCAACATTGTCACCGTGTGCACCCTGGTGACTCAGGACAAAGCCTGGGATGTGGCCACCAGGCCGGCCTGCTGTGGTCCTTGAAACCCGAAGGGCTAAGCCTTAGAATTCCCTTTACACACAAGCTGATGGATTGTGGCAACCTGCCCCAGCTGCTGGCTGGTGAGGACCAGGACGTGGACCTCCCTGCTCCTTTCTGTCTTTCCTTATACCCTGTGGGAGAATCGGGACCCTGGGTCAGGGCCTGGACCAGGGCCAGGGGCTAGAAGACCCCTCTGTCCCTGGAGATTCGGACCCAGGCCCTGAGCCTCCCAGGATGTGTCTCCACATGCCTGGCCCCCTTCATCCCTGCTGTGATCTTCCGAAAGCCATCTGACCTCTCTGGTAATGTGATGGCAAGGGTGGCTCTGGACAGGCCCGAAGAGAGGATGGGCTGGGACAGAAGCAGCCGTGGACAGGGAGGGCCCCAGTGGAGACTCAGGCGCCAGGCCCTCCCCACCCTGTCCCAGCTCCCGGCTCCCGGCTCCAGCAGGGCCTGTGGTTTACCCTGGTCGAGTCACAGCCTGCCCGCCTGGGCTGCTGTCCTCTGTGCCACCCACATAGGCCCCAGGACCTCTGTCCCCAGGGCCATGAAGGACCAGAGTCTGGGGGGACGTGGGCACTCAGGCGGCACCCTCAGCCTGTGTCCACCCACCGAGTCCTGGAGTCCCTTGCAGGCAGCCCAGGGTGACCCCGGCCATCACCTCCCTGTCCTCCCCTGCCCTCCGGCTGGTGATGGGTGCTCACGGGAGCCCTACCTGCTCCCTGTTCCATCTCCAAGGCAGTTCTGCCTCCATCCGGGCCCGGTCCCTGCACCCCTTGCACACTGTGGCAGGTGTTTGTCTCTCACTCTGGGGCTGCACTGTTGTCCTCCGTCTTCCTCCACCTCTCTGTGACCACACCCCCTCAGGACCCTTGGGTGTCTCAGGCCCCATTCCCTGCGTGGTGGGTGGGGGGCAGGGGCTCACTTGAGGCCTGGGGTCACCCCGTGGCTGCCCTGTGCGGCCTAGGCCAGGCTGTGACCACAGATGCTTCCTCCCCCTTCCCCCAGGGCCCCGGCACTGCTGCCCTGGAGATGTGGGTTTGAAGGTGGCCCCAGGCCTGCATCCTGCCGGCCCTGCTCGGACACTGTAATTACCCAGGAGGCTGCGGTTCGCCTCTCCCCCGCTGCACCCTGGCTGCCCTGATTCTCCCCTGGGCTCCTCCTGCCAGGCCAGGGTCCTGCTCTCTGACCCAGTTCCTGCCGTCCCTCTGCTGCCTGTTTTCACCCTGTCCCTGGCCCCGCTCCCCCTGTGTCCCCGTGGCCCTCACCTTCCGTGCAGTCACCTCGCCCTGAGGTGCTCTTTGCTCCTCTCCCTGTCACCCTGCCGCCTGTCCCTGTCTCCTGGTCCTCCCCCTTGCCTCTCTGCTGGGTCCCCGGCCCCTCCTGATACCATATCCATGCACACCACGAACACACGGCACACACATCCTGGCTCACACACCGTTGGGGATTAGGCACTCTTTGAGTCCACGCCGGTGCCAGGCGGAATGGGCTGGGGACCCGGTGTAGGGCCAAGAATGCGGCTCAGTGGCCCCCGAGCTGTGGGACGGGCCAGGCTGGGCAATCGGGAGGGCACCCTGGAATACATGGCCCTCTGCTTTCTCCCCAGCCCAGACTGTGTCACTCCTGCCTGGGCCTCAGGTAGGAGCAGGACCTGCTCATCCTGCAGAGGCAGCATCGCAGGAGGGCTCCCCGGAGGAGGCTGCACCTCCCATGCCCCAAGGCAGCAGCCCTGGGGCTCTGCAGGCCCTGGACAGCACTGACCGAGATGTCCCCATAGAAGCTGTGACGTGTGAGTCCCGGGGGAGTGCAGGCTGGGGCGGCGACATGTAGGGGTGGGATCCCACCCAGGTGAATCATCAGGAATGCGGGGAGCACCTGGCTCTCCACTTGGCCAGGCCCTCAAGTGTGGGCAGGAGCAGGGCTCAGGCGGGAGGGAAGGCCGGGGTGGGTGAGGCCGGACCTGGGATTGCTGCAGCCCATCTCCCAGGGGACCCAGAGTGCAGGGAAAAAGAAGAGCTGGGGTGGGGGGTTGTTGTATAATAACTAACGAAGATCCACCAAATCCACAGACACATGTTTTTTTTTCTTTGAGGCAGGGTCGAACTGTGTAGCCCAGGCTGGCCTTGACCTCACTGTGTAGACCAGGCTGGCCTCAAACTCACAGCGATCCTCCTGCCTCAGCCCTCCGAGTGCTGGGATTACAGCCGTGCACTACTACACCTGGCTACAGATACATCTGTACTTGCTAAATTGCCCTCCTGGCATGAGCATCTGTGCTTTAGGATCCACCTGTAGTGGGCAGAAGGGCACCTATGGCCAAGCCCATCTTACAGACAGGAGACGGAAGCACGGAGACCGCTCGCCCTGGTCCCAGGCCGGGGCACCCAGGCCTCCGGGCTGTGTGCTCTGTGTCCTGCTGCCTGCCCGGCCGACTGGGGCACTGGGAGCCACCTCCAGCCAGGACATCTGCAGCCAGGCCAGCTTCCTGGAAGCTGGGCACCGAGTCCAGCTAGCACTGTGCCCTTGGCCACTGCCAGAGACACCCGCTGCTGCAGCACTGAGAGGAAGTCAGCGCAGCGGCCGCAGAGCAGGGCCCCGGTGGGCATGGGACAGACACTGCTGGGTCTCTGGCCCAGTGTTTGCTCTGTGACTCAGCCCCACACCACGGCCAAGGCCGCAGGTGAGCTGTGTGTGCCCACACCTCCTGGGCCAGCTGACCGCTCGCCCCGCCTGGCCACCCACTGGACCCACGTTTAGGCTGCAGGGTGAGGGGCACAGCAGATGGCCAAGGCCCAGCCCCCGGTGGTGCTGGGAGGCAGGCAGGATGGTTCAGGCCTGGCCACTTCCCCTGGCCTGGGCCCTGTTTACCCGCATGGGCCCAGCCACACCTCTGGCCAGAGCCCCCTCCTTTTCCCCAGCTTCCAGACTCTGTCTTCTCCACTTCTGGGCTGATGGACCTTTGCCAGTTTTTGCCCTCTTTTGGTCTGGATTTTCTCATCGGTGAAATGAGACCTTGGAGAGATCTCTTTCAATCCTCAAAGAAGCAACGATGTGAAAAGCTCTTGATGCTGCTCCTAGTACAGAATAATTGCTCAAACTTGTGAATACTCCAGTGATCCCAGCTGCTTGGGAGGCTGAGGCAGGAGGATCGAAAGTTCAAGTCCTCCCTGGGCAGCTTAGCAAGACCCTGTCTCAAAAAATGAAAAGGAGGGTGTGTGGTAGTGACCTGCTGAGACTTGATCCTCTGTCCCCCGCTGGCCTAGCTGCCTGCTAAGCCCCAGCTCTTAATCTCTAGGCTGGTCCCCCCTGGTACTGTTTCCTCATCAGTAAAAAGGGGCACTCTCCTGTTGAGGGTTTAGTGGCTAGGTCAGTGCCCGTATGCAGCAGGTACTCAGTACGTGCTCCATGTTGACCACTGCCATTGCTAGAAGGCCAGGCCCCCTTCACCCTCCGCCATCTGCCTCCTGTGCATTCCAGCCTGGGTGTCTGGGACCCAGGTCCCAGCCTCAGGGGATGGAAGTACCTGGCATTCACAGAGGGCCTGGCCAGGACTCTGGCGGGGGGTACCAAGCTCCCATGGCCCCTTCTGCACCCCCAGGAACCTGTGCCTGCCCTCACCGCCACCCTGGCTGGTAGGGTCCAGGAAGAGGCTGGGCACTGGCTAGGGGTCAGCTTTCCTGTGCCCCACTGATAAAGCTGGGGTTCAGTGCCTCCGCCTGGGAGGGAGCTGCGAGTCTCCCCACCAGCTTCCTCTTCCTTCTCTCCCAGGCCCCATGGCCCCCACCCCACTCTTTCTGCCACCTGCCACAGAGGTGGGGCCTGAGGCTTGAGTGGAGGGTTGTGGGCAAGGAGCGGGAGACAGGGGCTACCTGAGGAGACCCTGGGTTCCAGGCCTGGCCTGTGTCTCCAAACATGTTTCCAATAAATCACCCAGCGCACCAAGGGCAAAAACAGCTGGGGGCTTGGCAGCAGCCAAGGGGAAGGTTAACTGCTTCGCTGCTGTCCCTGTCCCCCCATCCTCCATAGCCGAAGTCCCAGGACCCAAGAACAGGAGAGTGGATTCCAGGTGGGGGAAGAAATTGGAGTCCTAAACCAGGTGTGGTGGTGCATGCCTGTCATCCCAGCACTTGGGAGGCTGATGCAGGAGGATCATTGCTATTTGGAGGCCAGCCTGGACTACATTCTGATTTCAAAGCCAGCAAGAACTTACACCTAGCGAGACCTTGTCTCAACGAAACAGGAAATGGGGTTCAGGCTCTGAGCACCTGATTCACCTTGTACCTCTGTCTTTGTGAGATGAGCACTGGACTAGGAGTCAGGACCTGGCCCCCAGCCTGCTGCTATTTCATGGCTTGGCCCTGAGCCTCAGTTTCCTCTCTGCAGAAGATAATCTAGGGCATCTAAGAATGAATAGAGCAGAACGGGGGGGCTTTGGGGGCCCCACGCTTCCCCCAGCCTCCTTTCTCTTCACCTCTCCAGGCCAGCCTCAGGGGAACCCCTTGGGCTACACCCCATTACTGCCGAATGGCTCCAGCCACCCCTCAGAGCCGGGCAGTGCCAGGCGGGCTGGGAACGGTGCTCTCGGGGGCCCCAAGGCCCACCGGAAGCTGCAGTCTCACCCGTCCCTGGCCAGCCAGGGCAGCAAGAAGAGCAAGGGCAGCACGAAGTCAGCCTCCTCCCAGATCCCCCTGCAGGCACAGGAAGGTAGGTACCCCATGCCCAGCCTCTCTCACTGCCCGGACTTTGGCCAGCGCAGCAGCATGGTCTCTGGGTTCGGGCTAGAAATGCAGAACCCCAGGCCTGAACCTCTGCGTGGGCCCCGAGAGCAAGGGTCTCAGTACCCTGCACGCCCACTCAGATCTGCCAGCCTTGCAGAGCACACCTGTTGGGTAAACTGAGGACGCTCAAATTCTTCAGGCTGAGCCCTCCCACCCCTGCTCTCTCAGAATCCCTCTGACATGGCCCGGGGCCCCAGGGCAGATCCCGAGGAAACCACTCCATTTCTGGAATCAGGAATTTTCCTGGAGGGTCTGGGGGTGCAGCTCAGTGGTTGAGCACATGCTTGCCATGTGCCAGACCCTGGGTTCCTAGAGTCTGGTCCCCAGCACCAGAAACAAAAAGAAAGAAATGTTCCTGGAGGCGTGGACCATATGGCTAGTGAAGGCAGAGTACTTGGCAAGAAGAAAATGGGGCTTACCTGGGGCTGGGGGTCAGAGGACCCAAAAGCACCACCTGCTGTTGCTCCTGCGACACAAAGATCCTCCACCACCGGGGGGCCAGTGCCCATTCCACCTGGACACAGCTGCCTGTGCTCAGGGCCTCCTGATCCCTGCCCAGTCCATGTTGGGCACGCATGACTGTAGGAGATGGGTCCAGATGCTGGGTCCCGGAGTGAGGAGCAGGTTCTGCCCGAGGCCTCATCCCTAACTGTGACAAGTGCAGGGAGAGGACCAGATTAACCGGGGGACACCCATGCCACCCACACTGGGCAGGAGCGGCCATAGGCTCAGGGGAGGGCCCAGCCAGGGAGGTGCCAGGTGCCACTGCAGGCAGTCAGGGGCTAGGGAGGGGCTGGGTGGCCCCACACTGTACCTACAAAGCAACAGGGAGACACACAGTAGTGACTCACCAGGGTGCATGTGGGGTGCAGGACCCCAGCCAGTTCTAGATGGGGCAGGATGGCAAGAGGACCTTCCCCCTTCAGCCAGAGGCAGGGGGACAGGAGAGACCCTCAGGGCTACCTGTCAGGAGGTGCTTAACAAGGAGGTGCCCATCTGGGCAAGGCCAAGTGTAGAAGGAGGGCAGGTGATGAGGAGGAGGTTCATGGGTTTGCATTTCCCCAGGGTTAAAGAACCCACTGTAGGGTTCTAGGTGTCACCCACAGTTCCTGAACTGCATGCCTCAGCTTCTGCACCTGTAGAGTGGGCTCGCTGCAGCCCGATCTTGCTGTCTCAGAGGACCTACTTGAGTTTACTCCCAAACAGTAGGACAGTGGGTGCTGGGGACCTGTCACCCCCAGGGTGTTTCTTAAACAAGTAGAGGGAGGTCAAGTCCGGGGCTCCCCACCCGCTGCCTGGTGTGAACCCTGCTCTGCTGGGCTTGGATCGCCGAGCCTGTGGTCATCGCCTGCCCCAAAGATGCTGCCTGGGTGCCGTCCCCGCCTCCCTGGGCTCTGCCACCCTGGGGTCCCCACTGTGACCTGTCCTGCCCCTGCCCCCAGACTGCTGCGTGCACTGCGTGCTGTCCTGCCTGTTCTGTGAGTTCCTGACTCTCTGCAACCTGGTTCTGGACTGCGCCGCCTGCGGCTCCTGCGGCTCAGAGGCCTCCTGCCTGTGCTGCTGCTGCTGCTGCTGCGGCCCCGGCGAGGGCGCCGACTGTGACCTGCCCTGCGGCCTGGACTGCGGCATCCTGGACGCCTGCTGCGAGTCTGCCGACTGCCTGGAGATCTGCATGGAGTGCTGCGGCCTCTGCTTCTCCTCCTGACCAGCGAGGGACGAAGGGGTGGGCGCACGCACCCCTGTCCGCACGCCACTCGGCCTCTCCCGGCCGGCCGGGGACTGTCAGGGTGGGGCGGGGCGGGGTCCCAGGGCTGCAGAGCACTGTGAACGCCGGGGAGGGGAGGGACAGGGTCCTCATTCCCGGGGTCCCCTCCCCTGTGCCTCAGCGGGAGGACAGCGAAATGTGAAAAGAGCCCCTTCTGGGCCTGCCCTGTCCCGAGGGTCCTTCCCTGACCCACACAGTGGCCTGGGGTGGGATGGGATGGGGCGGCACAGCCAAGACTGGAAGGGCAGAGGGGCTCGGAGGGAGGGTCTGTGCTATTTGTCGCTGTAAATAAAGACATTTGTCCATCTCTGCATCCTCCCACCCGGTGCCAATGCTCAAGCGAACTCTGCACCCATGAGGCCACCCTGCCCTCGGGGTCCTGTCCCCTCACCTTCTGCTCCCTTACACAAGGGCACCCAGAGCCGGAACAGTTACCCTCGGCACAGGATTCATCAAGACCAGATGTGTTCCGGCTTTGATTAATTAATCTGCCTCTGACTCGTCCTCCAGTTGGCCCCCGTGAAGTCACTCCAAGGCACAGGGTGACGCCCATGTCGGCAGCACAGGCCCCAGCGTGCACCGGGCCTTCTGGGAGGTGGGCGGGGCCTGACTGGGGCGTCACACGCCATCCTCCGTCGCCCCATCACCAGGGCCTGAGAAAGGAGGACCCCGTGCCGGGACTGTGGAGCCCCACCGGCCGTCTGTCTCGTGCCTTTGCAGAGAGGAGGAGAGACCTGGGTACTGCAAAGCTATTGGGGGCAGCATGGACCTGGATGGGGAGCAGGAGTGACACCACCCTGGGCCTCGATGTCCCAGGGCAGGCCATGTGGGTGGCTCTAGGAGGGCCTTGAAAAGTGGGTGCGAGGGGACATGGGTGGGTGCTGCTCCCAGGGGCAATGTTGGGAGTGGATCAGGCAATTCTGAAGGAAGAGGGGCCCTGGGGAAGCGGCCTCATGGAATGCAGACTGCTCAGAATGTCACATACCGTGGGCCTCAGTTTGCCCACTTCCAGCTTTTCTGACCTCTGCGACCTGACCAAAACTGCGAGGACATGAAGGGACCTGCCCCGGTCGGGACCCCACATTCACTCACCTGTGTTCATTTGTTCCTGGCTTTTATTCCGCTATTGCACACTCACGGTGCAGAAGGTCCCCAGCCCCGTCTCTGTCTGGCACTTACACACGTTTTCTTTTTTTTTGGTACCGGGGATCGAACTCAGGACCTTGCACTTGCGAGGTAGGCGACAGAACCACCGAACTACATCCCTGCCCTGCATTTTCTATCTCTATAAAGTGTGAGGACAGCACGCACACCGTGCCAGACCTTAGCTTTGTGACCTGCCTGTGCTTCTGGGAAACCTGGTTATCACAGGTGCGGGGCCAGGTGCTTGGCTGGGTGGCCGGGCCACTGCTCAGTGATGAGCTGACCCTGTCCCTCCCCGGCCCCTCTGTTGTGACACGGACATGCGGACATTCCTTGTCATGACAGAGCTGCTTGGAGAACACTGCTGAAGGTGGTGTTGCTGGGCTCCAGGGGACTGCCCAGTTGTGCTCCCTGGGGTGCACAGGGCCCGGGATGTCTACCTGTCCCATGGCATTTCCCTTCCTTCTGGGGACCCGGGAAGGAGGGAGGCTGGGATGACAGGGAGGAGGAAGTGCCTGGCACAGGTGGGCAGGAAGGCCCCTCCTGGCCCCTCGTGGCTATCCAGAAGGAAGAGGCGCCCAAGCAGTCCAAACACTGGCTTCCGGCTGTGGCTGCCTCGGGGTGTTTGCTTTAGGACAGTGGGTGAAACCCGAGAGCTGAGCCAGCCCCCAGACACACATGCACGCACGCTCACACTCACACGCACACGCACACGCACACAGACGCGCGCTCCATACAGTCATACACGTGCATTCCGCAGCCGCTCTACACCACGTGCGTGCGCACACCCCGAACACGTCCGCTCACTCACTGCACATTTCAGAGCCCGGGCTGGGCCACAGAGGCCAGGTCCGCCCCTGCACCCCATGCCCGCCCTGTCTCCCCCACTTCCCCGTTTGCACCCAGCCACCTCATCCCTGCTAGCCGCAGATGGCGTTTGTGTACCAGCCACCACCCACCTCACCCACCTCCTCACAGTGCTCACGCGCAGCCTCCAGGGAAAACCAGGAACCCCTCCCCTCTCCTACAGGTGGGCCCCATCCTGCTTTTCCGTGGGGTGGGCCTGCCACTCTCTGGGCCTTAGCTTCCTGTGGACCCCTGGGGCCATAAGGTGCCTCTGGTGCCTCTGATGTTGGCACAGTCGTCTGCCGTGCTGTGCCCAGGAGGCTGAGGGCCACCCTCACCTAGCTGTCCTTGCCGAGCTGGGCATTCCCAGCATGGAGAGACAGGGCTGGGGTGAGGCCAAGCCGGGGAAGCGTTGCGTGGACAGCAAGGCACTGAGCCAGGAGCCAGTGTGCGAGGGGGGTCAGACCCACTTCTTCCCTAATCTCCATTGGCCCCCATATTCGGGGGCATCCCCTATTCTGGCACCCAGAGCACACAGAGCCCTCAGGATGCCACCTTTCTGACCACAGGTGCCAGCTTGGGGAAACTAAGCAGCCTGCTCTTCCTACAGCCAGTCATGTTCCAGACCTCTGCCATCTCCAGGGGAGAGGAGACAAAGTCGGGGGCCAGGCTGGTCCCTGAGGCTCAGGACAACTGCAGAGACCTTGTTGCTGGGCAAGGGCACTAAAGCCCCCCAACAGCTGGGGAAGCAGTGTGGAGCCCTCAGGACGGCTCTATGCAGAGGGACAGTGGGCCCAGCTCCTGTCCTCTCAGGATGACTCTCCTCTCCACGTGCTGCCTTCCTACCTGACGAGGGCCATTAGCTAACATAATAAAGACCAGGGAAAGATTCTGACTGGCCCAGTCTGTGTTACAGTCCCGCCACTGGGCCAATCACTGTGCCAGGGAATGGAGGACTGTGACTGGTCAGACCAAAGTCAGATGGCATCTCTATGGCCAGAGGGTGGGTTACTTGGTCACCCCTCCCCTCCAGAACCAGAATGCAAATTACAAAAAGGGAGAATTACAAAAGGGGGAAGCTTGGCAGATTAAAACAGGAGAAGTTGCCGGGCATGGTGGCACACATGCTTGTAATCCCAGCACTCTGGGAGGCTGAGGCAGGAGGATGTCAAGTTCCAGCCTAAGGATGGCTGGAGAGAAGGGACTGCCACAGCTAGGGTATAAATGGGGTCCTTGCCTGGATGTGACAGGTGGCCTCATGACTCCTTCTAACTCAGATCTTCCTGCCTCAGTGGCATCTGATGACAGAGGGACACCAGGGCTGAGTAGACCAGGTGCTGGAGTGAAACGGAGAAAGGAGCCAGAGGCAGCAACATCAAAAGGACAGTACGGACACAGTGAGGCCTGAGAGACAGGACATGAGCTTGTCCCCTGCTCCTCCCAAGGTCGCCCGCTGTGGGCTGTGGGGGCAGTGGTGCCCTCGGCCTGGGTCCCTCCCGAACATGGAGCCCAGGCAGAGCTGGGCAGCTCGGCGTTAATTAGGGGTCCAGCTAATGGCTCAGAAGATTGGCCGGTTCCAGGGATGCTGATGGATAGAGACCTCGGTGAGATTTATTCCTAATTATCTCATTTGTCTCTCCCCATTACTCTTTATGGCCGGGATTTATGGGACCATTAGGGGGGGCCTGGTCAGGCCAACATGAGTGCCAGCCTTGAGACGCTGCATAATAATAACAATAATAACGCACACCTTGCCTGGATTGATGGGGGACTCACCTTCCTCTGCTCTGTCCTTGGGACCTGGATACCCAAATCTCCCTGTCCCTTCCCTTCCTAGCACCTCTGCCCGCACACACACACACACACACACACACACACACACACACACACACACACACACCGTCCAGCCTCTCTTTCCCTCTCCTGTGCCACCAACTTGAGGCTCAGGGTAACAATGAGAGGAGCCGATTCCAAAGAGCACAAGGGCCAGTGGGGGGGGGGTGGCACACTCCTGTCATCCCAGCACTCAAGAGGCTGAGGCAGGAAGATCACCAGGAGTTCAAGGGCAGCCTGGGCTACATAAAGAGTTCAAGGCCAATCTGGACTACATAACAAGACTCTTGTCTCAAAATAAAAAAAAAAATCAAACCAAAGAGGGCAAGGGCCACAGGGATAATAATAGATATGCTTAACAAGCAAAAGCCCCAAGCACATGTGGCCTAACCCATAAGGGCATTATTGGCCCCTTACCTAGAAATGCAGAGGAGGTGACACCCAAGCTGATCAGAAGGCTCAGGTGCCATCAGGGAGCCTGGCTTCCATCCTTCTGCTCTGCCCAGGATGTGGTCCATGTCTCCCCTCCTTATCACAAAACAGCTACTGCAGCCCCAGGCACCGCATGCTCATATAGCTTCCCACAAGGAACCACAGGGCAGGTGGGAAAGAGGAGCTTTTTCCTCCCAAACCTTCTACCAGGGCAGGGAGGGGACTGTTTCTGGAAGAGGCCTAGTGGGCATCTATATACAGCTCTGCCCAGGCTGCCAGGTTGGGCCTAACTCCCTCTTGGGTTAGGCTGTCTTAGAAGCAGCCCCCAGACTTCGAGCGTGGGTCATTTGTGCAGGATGGGATCCGGGGACCCTGGACCCTGAAGGAAGCACTCCCTCACCCAAGGCTAAGCACTGGTGTGCCAAATCCACTGCCTCCAGTGAGCCCCGCGCCCAGCAGTGTGTCCTGGTCCTTGGCCTTCCCAGGCTGAGAGGAAGCCCCAGAGGCAGAAGGCAGCAGGGCAACCCTCCTGAGAAGGAGGCGGAAGGTGGCCAGACCAACCTCTGGTGGGCAGGGAGAGAGAGCAGAGCTCGCTGTGCAGGGCCTGCCAGACTCTCACCTCCTCTCCAGGGTGCCCCTCATGTTCTGCCCCACAGGCTGGCCGGGGTGCCCAATTTCCACTTCCTTGGGAGGGGGACACGGTAATGCCCCCACACCGGGAAGGTGAATGTCAGCCCCAATGCCATGAGAGGTGCCTGCATCAAGCAGCACCTCAGGAGGAAAGCAGGGGAGCCCCTTGCAGACCCACAGGGTCACCAGCACTCAGGAGCCCCCCTAACCCAGGCCCCAGCCCTCGGCAGCACCCTGCCACCTTCTGCCCCTACCCGGGACAGGGAGTCCGGCCTCTGCCGTCCAGTGCCAGCAGCCCACCCAGCAGCCCACCGAGGGAGCTGCCTGCCCCAGGAGGGGATCTTGCCCCTGGACCTCACACATCACCACCAGGGGTGTAACCTGGTCCATGCACCGAAGTGACACATGCCGCGTGACTCAAGGGCTCCCAGCCAGGTTCCTACAAAAAGAAGCCCGAAGGGAGGGGCAGGCAAGAGCCCAGGGGCAGCACAGGTCAGAGCCTGCACAAGGCTTCGGGTCCCAGAAGGCAAAGCGGCACAGAATGTGCCTGGGAACATGCACCGCCGCACTCTGCTCCACAGCCCCAGATGCAGAACCCGCCTGCCCGCCAACAGAGGACAGACACACAGACGGCAGCGTGGCACCAGGGTCCCACACCAAAGTGCGGGCAAGTGATCTGTAACCACACAGCATCACAGGTGGACCTTACAGACCCATAGACGGGGACACGAGGACAAGCGACACTCACCTGTGCTGTCAGAGCTCAGTGTCAATGTCAGCCACAATGAAGGGCCCTGGAATGGGGCTGGGAGGGGCATGAAGGGTTTCTGGTGGGCTGTGAATGTTTGTTCTCTCTCTCTCTCTCTCTCTCCCTCTCTCTCTCATTTATTCATTTAGTTAGTTAATGTTTTGAGACAGGGTCTCACTATGTACTCCAGGCTTCCAGGCTGGGCATTCACATGGCCACAAGTTGGTCCCTGGCATGTGCTCCTTGACACTGTTGGAGCGGCCTTGCATACTGTAGCTCCCTGAAGCAGCATGATCAGGGACAGCAAGAAAAGAGCCCATGGGCCTGGGATTTGGCTCAGTGGTTCCACCGCCTGCCTCACAAGCTAAGGACCCGAGTTCAATCCCCGGTACCAAAAAAAAAAGAAGAAGAAGAAGAAAGGAGCCCCTGTGTCCACTCTGACCTGGCCTCAGGTTCCATGCCAGGCAGCCCCGGTCAGTGTGGAAGAGACACAAGCGTGTGAGTCCCTCAGCAGGAAGTCAGAATCAATGGGGTCCATCCTGCACTCTGGCTGCCATATTTATTTCAGACCAGGTCCATTGCCTATGTCTATTCTTTTCTTTTTCTCCTTTCCAGTAGTGGAGATTAAGCCCAGGGCCCCTGTACGGAGCTATATCCTCAGCCCTTTTTAAACTTTTGAGACAGAGTCTCACTAAGTCACTGTGTAGCTGGGCCCAGACTTGGGGCCCTGTTGCCTCAGCCTCTCTGTGTCCTGGGATCGCAGGTGTGGCCATCACACCCGGCCCCATAGCCGATTTCAGCAATTTCATCTTCACTCCTTGGCTGTTAGAAATTTGCATTAAATTCTAAAATATGCTGTGCACACCCAGGCAGCTGGGTGGTGGGAGTCATTATCCACATTTGCCAGATGAGGAAATCCACTTGGAGACCTTGACTAACTTTGTCCAGTGGCATTTACAGTGGCTACTGTGCCAAGCCTGGCCCCAACTGCCTGGCTTCCCCTGGGTCCTGATCTAGGCTTTTGCTAACTTGCTATGGCCTCCAAACGGTCACTTCCTGTGACTCTTGGTGGCCTGGCTGCACCCATTAGGGTCAGGTCTACCCTAGGTCAGGTTGGAAGTATGGACGCAAGGGGACAGGGTCCTGCCCCTTACATCCCAGAGTCTCAGGTTGCTTGCAGCACAGCCCAGCCCTCATTCTCATGGTCCAGTGTGGGCCATCCACATTCCAGACAGCAAATGAAAGCAGACTGCTCCTGCTAGATGTCATTAAAGAAGATTCCAGAAGTGGCT